AAAAAAAAAAAACAAAAATAGGCTAAGTTGGGGGGGGATGGGAATGAGTAAAAAAGAAAGAAATGAGAAATGAAGGTGTGTGAAAGAGTTTTTTGTTTCTTGTCTATGAAGAAAGCAAAAAAGAATAAAAAGAAAAGAAGCAGCATTATATGTAATTTCAAAGCATTTTTTGAAACAAGAAATTTCACAAATAGTAAGGGAAAAAAAAAAAAAAAAAAAAAAAAAAAAAAAAAAAAAAAAAAAAAAAAAAACAGGTAAGTTTTTGATTTATAAAAAAAGATTACCAAATAGACAGCATAATATGTCATTCCAAACTATGACTATATATCTTCGTCCCAAGATGCCAAAACAATTTTCAAGCTTCTCTAATTACCCAAGAATTGCTGCAATAAACATGAAAATATAGCACGATTTCATTAAAGGCAATGTTTGTGGTCCAACAGCTTGCGTGGCCCACTCGCTTACAGGTTACCTTACTATCTAGCCATGGTTCTTATATTATTATCCAAATATGCAGAAAGTAAAGAGAGAGACTATTGTTGTGATAAAATGAGCTTCCATCCGCACAAGAGCAGATAGAAGGGCTTGGATCTATTGACTCAGGGTCCGACTGGGTGATAATTCATTTAAAGTCCACTTTCTATTCCAAAATATCGAGCAACTTCAATCAGACCTGAGCCTCCAACTCCGACCCAAAGATCGACAAACCCCTCTTCTCTGGCTCGGGCAATATCTCTACTATCCCAAGCTTCTTCCAAGTCTCTCTCGACATAGATTGTCTGAAACCCACATTTTTTGGCGGCATGCAAGTCCTCAAGATGGGCTGCGACGAGACAACATTGCGAATTCCTGAAACCGAATCTGCGAGCAGCACCATGATAGACCTCTGGCGACGGCTTGTAAGCACCGAAATGCTCTGCACTGGTGATGTGCTTGAAAGGCAAAGAATTGTGTTCTTGTAGGTCTTCGAGGAGTTTTACATTACCATTGGATAATGTAGACGTCAAAAATTTAGTGCCCAGCAACGAAAGGCCTGGCACACTGTCAGAGTATGAGTCAAGTCGATGCCAAGCGAGTGTCAAATCTTTGAGATCGTCCTCGTTAAATAAATCCCGGAGAAGCCATTTGATGAGAATATTTTCCAAAGAAATGCGGTTGTACTCATCTACTGAGACAAAGGGCTTAGATGTATCGTAAGTGTCTCCGAAGTTCATATATGAGCGATGCCACTCCTCCGCGATCTCCTGCCAGCTCGAAGTGGACATATCAGAGACGCGTGCTCGCACATCGGCACTCAGATATCGAACTTGATCTTGCAGAGCCCTTTGTGCTGTGGCATTCAGTTCGTTCGCGATGCAACATCTCCATTCCACAATTGTCCCCAAGACATCGAAAAATATCATTGAAGGTACACCATCCCGTGACATCTTTGTCGAAGCTTCTTTGAGAGATACTAAAGAATGAAGGCTTTTGCATGAACTGTAGATTATACCTGAAAGTATAGCAAATTCCTCGTCAGTCAGTGATAGAAACACCATGGCCTCAAAAGAGAACTTAAGAGAAAAAAACAGATGACTTTACCGTCAGGAACTGGTGTAAACGTTGACATGATACTATCGCAATGAGATTAGGCTTCTTTAAATGTCGACGCCACTGAACATCCACTCTTTCCATCAACCTCGGGATTTTATTGCTTAGGGTTGCATGTGATTGGCAAGTGGAAAATCTCAACAAGGCCCCCGGGTATCGCGGTTTCAGAATATTAGGTAAGGCGTCGAAACTAGGCAGCGTTGGGGTTGCTATCATTTCAAAATCCGATGCCGGGCTCGTCGACATGTGAGCCTGGCTGTGTAGATGATATCCGACGTTGATATGGTTGGAGGTATTTCAATAGACTCTGTCGGTACATTGCACGATAGTCAACCTCGGGATCCTCCCAGTCTTTCTTAGAGAAGAATCGGAGCTTATGCTGGGGCGCAAGAATAGTCCCAATGGCGAAAAGATTATCTTCAATATCATCTGTCATGGTATAATACTGCCGAAGTTTGGTTTCTGCTGCTAAAAGAAAGGGTTCTGGGCAGGCCCGACCCAACTATGACAATTGCTTCAAGTTAAGTTCCCACCTGCAATGGAAAGAATAGACAAGTTTTAGTTCTAATTTTAGCATACTTTGTACAAATCTGCAGCATCCAGGGTGGTCGACAAAATGAAAACCGTTTGTGGTGCTTTACTTCATATCTCAGCAGCATAAGATTAACAGAAAAAGACAATACAATGGCACAGAATCTCTCGACCGTTTCCTGGTCCCCAAACCAAATTGACATCTTCGGGCTCGGCACGGATGACATCTGCTACCACAAGTGGGGGACGAGTCCCACTGGGGCGGATGGCTCACCACTGGTCGGCTCCACCAGAAATTCATAAGCTTTTCTGTGGTATGATTCACACTAAATTATCAACTACCTTATGGATCAGATAGCGGAAATTACAGCTCCTGCCAAACTTTCATCTCACAATAAATTAACGTGAACCTGCGGGCAGTATGTTCAGTCCACCTCCACTCAGTGTCAGTCAACCAGGAGGTGTGACGTTGCTATTTTCCTATTCTAGTAAATGTATTTACGTAGCTATGTTAGGATCCTGAGAGTAAACACAGTCTGCCCATCACATCACCCCCTAAACTCGCAGCACAGGTGAAGGTGGATTTCCAAAGAGATATGTAGAACATGTTATGACACTAAGATAATAAGACTAATCCTTTTTTTCAATTCTCAATCAAATGTTTCTGAAAGAGCAAACCTTTGGAAGAAAACTTTTGCCACAGGCATTTCCTCGAAAGAAACGGTTTCGCCTCACCGTTTGAAGCCGCATTTCAGGACCAACATACCAAATCTCTGCTCCTTCCGCGAGCGAAGACCTCGAGCTTCTGAGATCCAAGCGGGCTAAGGACAGGCGTTTCTGTAACCGTGCCACCAAGCGATGTTCATGAATATTCTGACGGTACCCACTGTGATCCATTCCATGCCTTATGCCAGACACTTAGATCAGGCCCCTGTATGACAATATCTCTAGGCGGCCCTACAGTGTCTCCCCGTGGATTGGGTCCAGAATTACCAATTCGTTGTCTGGCTAGGCATGACTGATTGATGTACCAGGCTACAACCGGTCTCACTCGACCAAACCCCATATATCGACCCACTGCAGGGGGATGTATCTCTGGGGGACATCCTGCTGGATAGCATTGTTCTATTCCTTGAGTTAACTCATCTGGTAACTATGTGGCGACTAAAAGATCCAGAGGGGCCTTTCCATGACGCGAATATAAACCATATGATAGATTTGACCTGGAAGTTCAATATCTAACTAGCAGAGATAATGTCGTGGTCTACTTGATGGTAGGTACCATATGGCAATGTTGTAAAGTCTGCATTCCTATCTCTGCTACAGTATCTGTAGATATAAAGGTTCCACGTTTGCAACAAAAAATCACTTTCCATCTGATGCATCAGGGACCAAGCTTGTGCCACGAGTATACCGACTTTAAAAAATTCAAACGGCCTGTCCTCGCTCTTTATCATGGGACAAGCTGCTTTCTGCACTGGTAATTTCAATATTTACTTGGCGTTGTTTCCTGACAATGTCTGCCACATTGGGAGGGTCTTCTTGTATCAGTTTCTTTTTGGAGTTGAAGTCTTCTGACCATCTCCTATGGCCCCTTGGATGCGGCAAGAAATCCCATCGAGCTAGACTATCTTCCTCTTCAGTGCTTAAATTCAGCCACGCGTAAATATCTTGTCGTCGGCTCGTTGAGGGTGCCTTCTCATCTGGTTGTCGACGCTGCCAGCTTCCATGTTTATCTTTTTTAAACTCCACGTCTATCGGCCATTCACATACGGTCGCCTCGAGGTACGATCCTATCCAACAGGTATATGGCCGTGAAACCTGTTGATCTGTATTGCGTGAGAGCAACCAGGCGCTCCGAAAATCATCGCAGCCAACGTGGCTGCATACGAGCGCAGTAGGAAGGACAAGAAGTATGATGCTGTAAATTTGGCTCGCCAACCGAGTCATACCCAGAGAAACGACATGGACACCAAAAGCGGCCCAGCCGATCCACCGGATGACAGTATAAAGCCAACTTGGAGATGGTGATGGATTCTGGATAAAGACGGACTTGATTGTCTTTCTTGGCAGGAAAACAGTCACAACTTTGGAATTGGGCAGGATCACCAATGTCTTGTCATGCTCATCTCGGTTTTCTTTCGTCTGCTTTTGCATAGGCCGGCTTTCTTCCTCACGGACAGCGGCATCAATAGCGTGGCGGTTGGCCTGGAGAATATAAACGCGGACCAGAATGGAGGTTAAAATAGCCAAGGCATTGGCCAAACCATACCAGTCCTGAGACAGTACGACCATAATGACCAGAGTTCCGGTTGAGCAAAACGATATTGCAGCTGAACTCAAATGGTAGTGCCGCCATCGACGCGGCTTGTGCGTTTTGATGTCCCATCAGTCAATACTGCGATTGGAATGGAAGTCTTGAGCCAACAGCCACCGACTAAACCAGCATGACAGTTCGCTGGTGTGAATCCCGCTGCTGATATTATACCAATTGAAAGCGGGCTTCCTGGCCTTGAATAGGTCGCCAGCAATCACGAAACCACGCACCAACGGCATGTACTCAAGCCAACGGCTGGGGACCAACCGACCGACAGAATCGTCGATCTCTTGGGCGCCAAGAAGTGTCACAAGCCCAAGAGCGTCGATCTTGAAGGGTTCCCAAAGGGATAGTTTGGCCCAGGGATAGCTCATTGTAGTTGACAAGAAATCTGATTTACCAAAGATTAATTTAGGGATCTGTCCTACTCAGATAATATTATGATAGACAATGATATATTTTGGAATGCACTACCTAAGACGAGGCTATCTTTTACCCAGCGACATGCCCATGGCTCAGCCGCAAGGCTATGATACATCGCATTTGCCCATTGAAACTGCCAACATCGATGTGTTTTGTGCTCATTGGTGGCGACTTAATGCATCTACAGACGCTAAACCATACGATCAGGTCGAACCGGGCACTGTACTTTTCGTCTCAAGATCCATAGCCTAGCCGCTGCATAACCTGTAACTAGAACACTCTTTTTTCTCTGGCGCTTTGCGCGCGATAAGTGAGACACGGTTGAACACATTATCTGGAATATTATAAACCAATTAGTCGTTGGTGAGGTCGAGAGATGCAGGTAATATGAGGCCACGAGGCTGTGAACTGCTTGATTGGCACATCCACAGGGCTTCCAGGCGACAGCATTGCCAATGATTTCTCGATGATCAGTGGTGTATCCAGTGAAAACAATGTTATCTGATTGGAGGCGGTTATATTTATCTCTTGCTCCTTTTCTCCTTTTCTAATTATGTAGAAGTTATGGGTGATTGTTGTTTCATTACGCTACTATATTCAGCGTTGAGGTGCACGATCGATATAAAAGTCACTACTTTGCACCATCAGAAAGGTCAAAACCCATTTGAAATAATTCATTTCTTTAAATTCATCTGTTTGTTTTGAGTTGACAACCCTCTACTCAACAGCGATGGCAGACAGCGAAATCGCGACGAAGAATCCCCAATTATCGCGCAAAATTTTCCGACCTCTGCGCGAAGACTATATTCGCCTTGTCACCATACTTGCCGGATCGCCGGCAGATAGCATTCAGTGTTCACTGGAAGAAGTTCCATTGCTTCCAGACAAAAAGCCACCGGAAGAATATGAAGCATTTTCGTATGTATGCGGATCTAAGGAGCGGCCGCAACGCATCGAGATCGGCGGTAATGAATACTTCATCACCGAGAACCTGGCAGAAGCCCTTCGCGCACTCAGACACCCAAAAAAAGGCCGGAAATTGTGGGTCGACTCCTTGTGCATCAATGAATCGAACATACCCGAGAAGAACATCCAGATTCCCTTAATGGGTCGCATATATTACTCTGCCTGCAGGGTAATTTGTTGGCTGGGACCGTACTATGAGATCCGGAGGTGGGCACGAACAGCGACAGAAGAGGATATGAAGAACTTTTTCAACCTCCTTCAACTAATCGAGTCAGACCCCAGTAATCGCAATGTGTTAGATACCTCGATCAGAGCCTTGCGTACGCTGGACAGCAATTCGCAAGGGAGAATGATGTTCGCGCTGGAAGACCTCGTCTATCGAGAATATTGGTATCGAGCCTGGACGTTGCAGGAAATGGCGCTTTCCAGTGACTTAAGGGTTAAGTGTGGGGACCATACCGTGCGGTATACCACGCTGGAGTGCATGCCCACCACTCTTATCAATGCACATGCCCTACAGTCAATGCCACCAAAGGAAAAGAAGACTCTCCATCTCAAGCAGTCCTTGAGAGTAAGCACCGTTCGGTCAAGGCTGCAAGGGATCTGGCCAGAGAGGCTGTTGAAATTTCAGCAACTGCGGTCTGGGATGTCACTGGATATGTTTCTCAATCACTTCCTGAACAGCCACTGCTTCGATCGTCATGACAACATCTACGCTTTCTACAATTTGTTTCACTCAGATATTCAGAAGACCCTTCAGGTTGACTATGACTTACCGGTTGAGCAAGCCATTACCCAAACGTTCAAAGGTTTTATCCGGGTAACAAAGTCACTTGATGTGGTCACTGTCAAGGCGCGGCAACGTGCCGTAAATGAGAAATGTCAAAGAGCGGTACCGTCCTGGTGTCCGTATCTACATGCCGAATATAGGGCATTCCCTCTTCTTCCCGCGGGCTATACTTATCCTAAAGAGACATCTTTGATTCCCCCAAATGCCCCTGTCACGTTTGAATATTCAAGAGACCAAAGCAAGCTCCTCAGGAATATGTTCCATAGAAATCTCTTGAACTGGGAAGCCAGGGAGATGGCACATATCAGAGAATGTTACACCTTCTTGAACAAGACAACGGTGAAAAGGGAGGAATTTCCGCAGGTCGTTCTTCCGGATTATCGCCCCAGCCAGTCCAAGGTGCTTGATAGCCTGGTCCAAACGAATTTGCATGTGCCCGGCAATGAAGAGCAGTTCGAGGCGCTATATCAGTTCAAGCGCCGCATGCATTCGAGGGAGCTGTGCTCATGTAGCCTGCTTCTTAAAAACGGTTTCAGTAGCACATTCAACCTAGGTGTTGTTGCTGATACCCCATGGCCAGGGGATATCATCTGTGCTATATCAGGGTGCAAGACTTTGGTTGCTCTTCGTCTTGTCAAAGATGGTGCGTATCAGGTAGTCGGTGAAGCAATGGTACAGGTGGCGGGTTTGGGAAAAGCATCATGCACTGGTGGGAGCTATGAGAATTTTATACTTTGTTAATAATGATCATTGCCTGTGTGCTTGTGCGGTATAAACAGTTTAGTGTGGTATTGGTATACAAGGGCCAACAAGATAAAGCTGGTAGAACCTCACTTTGGTATTGTCGTCCACCGCATCCCCACGGAAAACTTTGACCTAGAAAAAAGCTAGAAGCAAGGAATAAAGCAGATCACAGAGGGAAACAAGCTTGCCGTCAAGTGGTACCAAATTAAAAACATCACATGGCTAAAGAGGAATGACAAACCTCTGGGCACATCGTCATCATTGGGCATCTAGCTCAACTCACCGGAAGCAGCAGAATAGATTACTATATCAACAACGGTCTGCTCGTGGGACAGAGGTATATTGGCAGTATTAAGGCTTACCAAGTTAGGCGAAAAAGGTGCCACCGGTGCCAGAGGCACGGTCATCTAGCATGATCATATAGAGAAAAAGCCTGATGTGGTCACTGCACTGGTGAGCACGGATGCTGACACTACTGTCAATGTGTAATGCACCCATGTAAACCACAGCGCGTGGCGGCTTTATCGACCAACATACCCAGAGGAACCAGGGTGATACCGCAGCCTGCTCTACGCGAACAAAGAAAATTGAAGTATCTTGGTTGTCAATTGGGGAGCATTAGATGTTAGAGTTTCTTATGGAGTGGCCACCCTCAAAGGCATAAAATGACAGCGCCAATACTAGGTGAAATTCTAGTAAACGTGGCTGCAATTTTTATCATGGAAGAGAATTTGTAAAAAGGCGGTTGGCAAAGGGTTGGGCATTTCCTTTTAATTCATTTAGGCTGGATATGGGATTTTATTTCTCTTATATGTAGTCATCTAAATTAAAGAAAGAACAATTCCTGTTAGAGACATGGATTTTCAGCTCTGCAAGACTCTTGAAGCTAGGAGCTTAAGGTGACATGACAGCAATCTGACTTCAACGCAACTCAATATCAAGACAATTGGCCAAGTAATGACCACCTTGATAAAAATGTGCACGGCCTATGACAATATAGTATTGACCCTGCTGTCGAATGTACCAGGGATTTGATGCACCGGCAATAATTGCAACAGTATCCCCATTACGCACAGACGAAGGCGCAAGGCCGAAATATCCTGAGTTTGTTTTTATGATCCTGTGCTTAGATTTCTCAGAACGTGCTCCAATACTCTCCCACTTGGGCTCCTCCTGTTCGAGGAGTGCCTGGAATTGGTCTTTGCCTAGTGATTCCTAAACTTGCTCTGTCGCCCTTTCCATCAAGGCGAAGTATTCAAGTTACCTTTCTGTGCCTTCTGCTTTCGAAGATCGTCAAGCAACGGACCAAATAAAGGGCGCTTGTCAAGGTCTTCCAACCACATGCGGGAAACCTGGGAATACATGTCACAGCAGTGAGAAACCCATCTGTTCACTGCATCAAACTCTTGAAAGTGGTAAGTAAAGTCAGTCTGTGATTTGCTCCCGATTGGATCATCCGCGATCACTGTTCTCCAAAAGGCTTCGAATTGCGCATTGACCCCGCCATAAGGACTGCGGGTGCTTCCTTCCTTCCCTACTAATTTGTCGCATAGGGTTGCTTGTCCGTACATCTCCTGGTCACACTCAAGTACATTCGAACAAAAGGAGACTTTGTCCACAATGGAGGCAGTAATAAAGAGGGAGTCTTCTTGTACTCGAGCCCTGTACGGGATCAGGCTGTCAATCTCATAGATTCTCCGATTGTTGACCAGCCATCCTTGGCGAGAGATGGATGACCAATTTGGTACCCATGTGGGAAGATTGACGTCCATGTTGTCGTCTCCTGGATTGAATGAGGATTCTCGGAAGAAATGCAGAATATGGTATCTCGACGGCTTAGGCTCATTGACTTGCCGTAGAGAAAATGTTTCCACGAGATGTTTTGCAGCTCTCCAAAAGACTTCTCGTGTTTCAAGGCCATAATCCACACACTCTTCAGCCCATTCGACCTCTCTTGGGAGGGTGGAGAACCTTTTTATGATCCCTACAAGGCTGAAGACCTTGTCACGAGGATCAGTGGATCTCTGTTCTCCGAAGTCAAGAAGTAAAGATCCGAGACATATTTCCCCAAGATCTCCTTGGCGCCCTCTTTTGTTAAGGTATCCTAATTGATTGAAGGCACTGTGCCCAGCCATAAACTCTTCACCTAGTAAATTGCTATTGTGAAGGAAAGGCCACCATTTCGCCAAAGTTCGCACATTCTCCTCTGCCTCGAAGAATTTGAAGTCGTCGAGCATAAAGTTTTTCACATAAATTCTTGTCGTTGGGTCGATTCCATACACCACGTAAAATTTAACAAAGCTGACTTCGTGTCTTCCGCACACCATGATAGACTTGGGCGCGAGAATTACCTCCTGGACGATCCAAGCTTGCCTGAAGTACTGCCGCTTAGTCAAATAGTTCAGGGCTTGCAGCACCTGCGCTGCGCCATTGTCCGATAGTCGCATTTCCGATGGCTTCGTTGCTTCTCTAAGGAAATTGTCGAAGCTTGAAAAGGTCCATTCTGAAACATGCTTAACATGTTCAAGATCCCATTCCGGGGTCAAGACGGCGATTGGTAAATGAACTCCCGAGCAAGCAACGTTGTCGATATCCCTGTGACCGATGTACAGCAGCAGATCAACTTCGGGAAAACCTGCGTGTGACTTCGCGAGCAGGTGGTCCAGGACCTGTAGCTGCATCGGATCGATACCATCTGGCAGATCCGGTGGAAACCGCTGTTGTACCTCGGTGACCAGGTCGAACATATCTCGATCTGGAATAGTCATCAAAATGGCACAACGGCCCCTCGGTGAGTCCAATATTCTTAGCTGTTGACCATAGTCATGCCTTGCTTCTGCCACTTCAAAGGCCCTCTTGGTGTCAACATCCTTATTTTCCTCGCCAATCCATATGAGCACCTCCTGTGCCTGCTGGTATATATGACTCATCAACCTCACTTGTTGGCTTCATTCGGCAATTAAACCCTGGTGGATGCACACTGCGTCCACCCATAGTCTTTTAGTCTCTGAAACATGACGGAATCGTGTCAAAGCTGCATGAAGGTTCGCAGTTACTATGAACTCGTAGCTGTTACACATGATTAGACGCAAGTCACATGTTGTACTCCCGCATACATATGACAGAGCTTGGTAAGGACCAGGATCATCGATCGCGACAACATGGAGTTGTACCTCAATCAGATCCCACTGCGAACCGGGAAAGAGATCTATGACTCGTATATGATTCACAGGTAGCTCTTGATAGATGTGCTCGTTGTTGATCTGTGTTACCTGCACCATCGTCGCATGAGCGTCGTCACTTCCCTTCGATAGTGCCATGGTTTTGTCAAGCATTGGAATATGATACCATATCAGTTATTATTCAGGTAGTCTGTCTTTATTTGTGACTGTGTGAGCAACTTGAAAAGAGCCATTCCACGCCAAAGGGAGAAAAAGGAGGTTTCTTTCCTCATTCCATGCCTCAGCCGCACGAGGCTTTCTGCCCAGAAGTGCCCAAACGGCAGGGTCTCGAGGCTACAGCCTGAGCAGAGAAATGATTATCGCAGTTCTTTTAATATTACTGGCCACGACCTCTTGATGATATCACTTCCTACACACCGACAAGTTGAAAAGCACTGCACTGATACCTAGGTCCAATGTAACGGAAAAAGAAACGATAGATGATCTCAAGGACATACGAGATTTAACAGGAAAACTCAAATCTCGCCTTTCTAAAGGGCTCGCTATACTTGAATCTCTTTCTAATTCATGTTTGCATGGCCTGAAATATTTCAAACCGGCTTGACAACATATGAAGGGTATTTTTGTAATCCCACTGCTAATTTGTTCTTTGAAGCTTGCTGATATGGGCGGTGTCAATCCAATACGCAAGGCTCCAGCATTACATAGGCAAGCTAGGAGCTGCTAGGTATTACCTATAGCTTGAGCGAGGTTATCAATAACAACCAATAAAAGCAAACCACGTTTGACGACAGGGGGAGGGGGCGATCGATATGATCTTAGGTACGCTCAGAACCTCGAATGATGACAGGCATTATTGCTAACCTAGTGCATGAAGCCTAATGCCAGGAACCTAGGTCTTTGGAGACACACCTGAGCTGTAAACGTGGGAGAAAATTTGCGTTGTATTGTGCTTGAGGGATATATGTTTCTGAGCACAACCTTGTACAGTGTGTTAGAGAGTGCTACCAGCCAATTTCTGTTGTTTAGACCAATGCATATTTTCGTGCAATATATTGTAAAGGTATCGATTCTGATAGACCATTTTCTGACCATGGTAGACCATCGACAACGCGTCGATGATGTGGAATGACCGATAATCGCTACACTCCTCATTCTAAACAAACCCCGTTGCAGGACAGCAATCTGGAATTGCACGGGGGGCTTCATCCACTCGTATTATGTCGTTGGAGGGGCTAATGATGCTGTGTTTCCGTTAGGAACATGGAAGAAGTTTGACTTTTGTACGGTCGATTTTAGCATTAGCAAGGCAATAATATACTATCTGCTATATACTGCCAATAGGATGGAAGACGACTCGTCAACTCAGTGCCAATTGGACGAGTGAATGAATATACCAAAGAGAACGTTCTGACAACGACAAGCTGACATGAAGTAAGCACTCTTGGCTTGAAGGCCTGATCGTTAGAGTAGCACTAGAGTGCTGAAGTGCTGCTTGGAAGTGCAGCTCAACAGCGCTATGTTACGTATCAAAAGGCTGGAATTTCCAAGGCATCTAGTTGTGAAACAATGCCAGACACATCCCTATGGAGTGCCAGAGTTTGTGTTATCAGAGACAAGTCTGACGACTCCTCAGTAAACAGGAATGTTTGGGGTAACATCAGCGATACTCTGTCATAAGTACAGACTCCATAATTTATCTTACCTAGACCCGGAGCAAACAGCGAACCTTTCAGAGTAAATGGCTATCTACGTCCAAGGCAAAGGATGTAGATCCTGGATACTCCGTATAGGTGCTGTAGCATGTCTCGCGTTTCTCGGCTGGTCTCTTCGGCAATGCCACGGACAGGTTCCATTGTGTGCATCCCCAAAAACATATTCGCCATAATTATTATTGATATTGCCAATAATACCGTACGCCAGGGGGAAGAAAACCAACAGAAACGGACGAAAATATAACTATGTTTATTGGACGTGGAAGGGTAAAGTCAACTGCCCAACCTGCAGTGGCTTCGCAGGGTGAACCGTGGTACTGGGACCATCAAACCAATCAGAAGAATTTTTTATGCCGTCTAGCTCTCTTGGTCTCACATAACACAGAGCGATTGCTAAAGGACAGGGGACATTCAGAGCTAGGTTCTTACCTGATACGGGATATATGCGGTCCCAGGCTTACTTGGCTCCAGCTCCCAAGTATTCGCAATTTGACGTTTGACACTTGACAGCAGCACGCGATGTGAGTCGCTCTCTAATTTGAGAATTTAGGGAGGTGGAATACAACCTTGTGTACTCATACCAGGCAGACACAATGGTGTTGTTTTAACCATGCACGTGCCACCTCGTAAATGCCCATCGTAAAATAGCCAGATGCTCATCGTCAAATCGATATCGTTTACAGACTACAGCTTACCTTGGCCTCATGTTTGTTCCAGTGAACCCGCCCTAAGCGGTGGCACCCAACAGCGGTACTCGGAGACCTGCTTTCAGGCACATTTCCACAGATAGTTGCAGATAGTATGCAGTGAGAAAATTATACTAACGCAGAACCCTGGTCCCATCTTTTATAATCATGAGCTAGAGCTGTATCATCACAGCTGAACACGAACAACTGGCCTCAGTCTTGAATACCACCCGTGAGCATGGCGAGCCTGGTATAAAAAAGATAATGGAAGATGCGGCTCCGCCACGCACGCTGGAACCATCCAGAGGCGAATCTGTTAAACTTATAGGAGGAAGGCAGATTCTTTGCACCACAGGGTCAGTCTCTGATTGTGGCAATGTTTGGAACGCTACATTTGGACCTGCAGAACAACAATCCTGAGTTCATCCAACATGCTGATGGAGTGGCTTTCAGTGAGATGGGCTACTCATTACCTCTAAATTCTACGTGTGACAAGTGCCGCGCGAGAAAACTGAAGTGCAGCGGACAGAAAACTGGGTGTACGCGGTGCAAGGCAACCGCATTAACATGCACATATTCGTCCATCTACGACGCTGGCGAGCGGCGCCGCCGACGGGCAGCCAGCCAGAAAAACATGGGGCAGAACCAGAGCCAGAGGCAGGGAAACACTGGCTCTTCTGCAGGAAGCAATATCCCGGCACGATCCCCAGTGAGACCGGCATCTGAAACTAGGACCCCATGACAGGCGTGGCCACACCGCAGCTCAGTGAGAATCAAGGATACTGCCTCAATCCCCTTTACCCAATCTGAACCAGGAGATCCTAGACGAACTGCTTCCGATGCAAGAGTTCGCCCCGGACTCGACTCCGATATCCGTATCCGTCCCTGGGCTGGCCTTGAAGAACGAATATTTATTGGGCATTGGCAGCGACAAGCTACTGCTTCCAGACACTCTCGGTGGGTTTATTTTGCTTTTACTTTTATTCAAGCTAATCAATGGACCGATACAAGGCATATCGACTCCGAACAGCTCGTGCTTCCGAACTGCGATCTCCCAGCGCACCGTGAATCGACTGACACATGTGGGTGTCTCCAGAGAATCGTGCTCCTGCTGGAAGAACTGGAGAACTAAATGCACCGACCGTGCATCGGAGCACTGGACTCGACCCTGGCCTGGCAAAAAGAGGCCCGCACAAATTGCTTGAAGATGCTCCGATGTAAGCACTGCAATTCCCGGTCGGACTACATGATGCTTCTTACCGTTGTGTGTGATAAGCTCGCCACGCTCAGCGGCAAGGTTATTGCCATTTACCTGCAGCATTGCAACAAGAATCCCCCAGAGGCGACCAGGTTTCCAACCCCTTCTTGCTCGCCTCCCAAAAGCAGCAACAAGAATCCTCCCAACGGGATGTTTGTGGGGAACTATGAAATTGACAATCCGAGCGAATGGTCTAGCGTTATGAGTGTTTTAATGCGAATACAACTGCGCAGTCTGTGGTCGCTGATGCAAGAAGCGAAGACGGTCGCCTACATGGCGTCTTTGAGCACACAGCTGGCCAAGTTGCAGGATACGGAGCACCGGGTGTCCAAATTGATAGACGTTTGGAAGATTTGAGTCCCAATTAAGGTACTTAGAAAAGACATAAGCCTCAAGGTTCAACCAACATCTTCAACCCGCCCCGTTGAACCCCTCATGACCACTCATGAAGCCCTAGAGTCTGGAGTCTTAGTTCCCACAGTCTAGTCTCTTTGACCTCATCATAGGCGTAAGGCTTCACGCCAGACATTCCTGGCGTAATGGACAAGCTTGCCTCCGCGCAATCCTCCAGATACTTGCCACCACGACCCTCCCATTCCTTGCTCACCGCTGCAAATACGGTTGTGGCTGCACCCTGTTCCGGGTTCTTGTTAAACTGCATGACTGTGGGATTAGAGCGCCATCCAGCCTTAATCTCCGGTGAAATGTATTTTTGCAGGTGTGTAAAAATCCCGCCTGGCGTCACGCTCAGTGCGTGTAGTTGCTGAGGCCCGTACCAGCGCTCAACATAGTTGGCCATGTAGATCTGGGCCAGCTTACTTTGTCCATAAGCCACACCAGGATGATATGCGCCATGCCTGGCCAGATTAAAATCATCAAAGTGGATCTCTGATGCATGGTGGCCGCTGCTGGAAACGTTTATCAGCCGTGACTGGAAATCAGCCGAAGCAGCCAGTAGCATTGCATCTCGCAGCAGCCAGAAAAGTAAGAAGTGACCAAGATAGTTAGTCGCAAGTTGGATTTCAAAGCCATCTGCCGATTCCTCGCGGGTGGGCACATGCATCACGCCTGCATTACATATTAGGACATTTAACGTCGGGGAGCGCTCCAAGAACGTAGCGGCCGCCGCACGAACGGAGGCAAGAGAGCTGGTATCAAGCTGGAGAAGTTCTACCCGACCAGGCTCGAGAAAATCTCTACAAGCTGCGTGTCCTTTCTCCAAGGACCGTGTGGCCAGAAACACCCTGGCTCCGGTTGAAGCAATTGCACGGGCAGTTTCGATTCCGATTCCCGAGGAGCAGCCTGTAATTAGAAAGACCTGCAGTACGAGATAGAAAGAGTGAGAAAGGTGGGGCCCAAAATAGAATCATAGGGGGAAAAAAGACACACTTTGTCCTTCATCTGGCCCACAAGCTTTTCATCTCGGATGATTTGCAAGGCAGTGGGTCTGGAATCGCCTGGGCCCGCGGGATTCTAATGGACAGCGACATATCGAGACATGATGAGGAGGTGTTGGAAACTGCTTTACCGTCACAAGTTCAGAAATCACTAGTCTTTCGTATACAAGTGAAAAAGCAATGAAGGTCTGATTCTTTTCTAACTACTGGCTATCTGATGTGCCTTTTATACTACCGGAATAGGGGCTATCTGACGATATTCGCGTACACCGATATCAGGGGTAAGAGGTCAGATTCTTCTGGAGTAGCGAGATCCGATGCCGTAAAGGGAAGGTCAAATCGATATGGAAAGAATAAGCGAAAAGGGAAGAATAAGCAAATCACCAGAACATGTAAGCGGTAAGTTATATCAACAGGAGGGGACGAGTAGTAGAAAGCAGACGGAGTGACTGGAGGAGTGGTGGCCAATGCATAGAAAGGCGTGGAATGGCTGAGAGTGTGGATCAAAGGATCAGATCCAGCGAGCGAGTGTTTTGGAGCCTGTTAATTCGTTTAAATAGCTGATCGGAGGCTAAACTCATCTATCTGGAACGGTTCGCATTTGAATTCTTGCAAATCCTCGACAGGGACTGGGTCTTGAGCAAGGAGTCAAGGACTGCGTTATACAAAAGGAGTCCGAGCAGCCATAATCAACGACCACACCAAGAGGCCCACAAACGAACAAAGGAAAGCCCCTAATACTAACTCCAATGGGCAACTAGGGGGTACAAAGCCCCCACTGTATATACTACTATCTACTGGCTCAGGGTTATCTCAATAATGATGACGTGGCGTAAGCGCGTATGATCTTGCTCTCCATTAGCAAGAAGAATAATAAAAATTAATAATAATAGGCTGACACAATGATAATGAGAATCCTTGTCTTCCCAACTAAAATACCGCATAATCCCAGAACCTGATGTGCGCGCTCGACCGTCGGGTTCTGGTGGGTGCCCATGGGGGTCGATAATTTCCTATTAAACATAACTTGTGAGTATGTTGAACATCTTTAAGTGTGTATTTAATATATTAAGAATTATATTAAATTAAAGTTGAACACTTTAAGCATAAATAGGACAGTAAAAAGGGGCAAAAAGTTCCGGATGCCTTAGGAGCGGAAAGGGCGGGCTTCTTTAGAGATCCATTATTCTCTATCCCCTCCTCTGGTGCCAAGCCCGGTCACATAGTGGATCTCCTGTGCCACTAAGCATGCCTGTAATCTGATTAGTTACTTAGACCATGCTTAGTAGGGAGGTAGGTTAAAATAGTCTAATTAGATAGATTCCTTACTGCACTCCTAGTATAAAAGGTAGAATTTAAGGTCTGTTACGTCTACTATAGAAAAATATATATAATAAGTAATAGAAGGTTAATTTCAACTTTCTCTCTTAATATAACTATAGAAATCTATCTAGTAAGTATATTTTATATTAGGCCTATAGAGAGGCACCTTATAGGCCTTATAATTCTAGTTAGTAAGATTTACTTCTAAAATCTATTAGATAATAGTACCTTACTACTGTATATAATTTATATAGAGGTACTAAGTATACCTTATCTATAATTTTTCTAGTCTTTACTCCTTTATATACTTAAGAGAGCTATCTAATTATATCTAATTATCTAGGAGGTTGATATACACAGCCTTATGCTTAGGTGTCACACCCTGGGATCCGTCTCTGCTGTTCTCTGCTAGTCAACTACTTTGGGAAGGGGTGATATAGTCCCTGGACTATATCCGATACTTGCCTGAGGCCTACCGACCAGGTAGCCTGACGATGCAA